CAGCAAGTTGGGTACCGTAGGTTTCAGCTATAAGTGCAAACACTACAGGCAAAACATGACCGAACTGTCACAGCAGTAGCGTAGGAAGATATTTAGGAGGGTGGCAAGGGGAAATTATTTAGTAGAAAATCCGGTACAGGATATGGGATTTAAGTACCCGAGATTGTGCACTCTCCTTTGTAAAACGAGAGAAAACCTCCCAAGCGCAGTTTGATAAGTTTAGCCTTGCTTAGTCTTAAAATCAATATTTTGCTGTCAAGTGATTTATTACGGTCGTTTATCATTTATAACCCATGCATGCAGTTATCACAGTTTAGATCAAACCTGGACAACGAGTTGTATTATATACTTCATTTGAGTTTGAAAATCTTGTACTTTTAGATCTAAGACTTCTGTATATAGAGAATTTAAAAATCTGTATTGCTGCCGGAGTGAAATGGAGTGAAGTTATGATGAATTCAACAATAAAGCGGGCTAAATGTAGAGAAAAGAACGCCTTGATGTCATTACCATTTCTTGATGTTCCCTGCAATCGAAAAGAACGAAAGAAGAGAATCGCGCATCATCTTCCAAGTATATGTTTTGGAAGTACACAATACAGAATAGCCACACTGCAAGAAAGTAAACTGAGCCAGTCATATAACACGAAGAAACATGCGCGAAAAGTCCAGCATTTACGCTTTGGAAAGCCGACTATTGGTGAACTAACTCTATCTGACAAACACAAGAAATCGCACAATAAAAGCCAACGTGTCAAGAACTCAGAAAGTTTATTGTTGATATGTCAAAAGGTTGAACATATTAAAAACATACAAAAGAATGGTAAATGGCACGTGGAAAAACCAAGTGCACCTTTTAGATTTACTTTTCCTGCATTTCCTGCCAGAGAGGAATTTGTTTTTCGTAATCGATATCGAAATTTAAAAAAGCTTCACTCGGAAAAGGAAATACCCTGGTAACAAGGCTGAACTATATGTAAAGAAGGAGAATTTGTCCCAGTGCATGCCCATCATGCTGTTGGCGCATGAAGGGATGAAGATTTTGTTTATTTATTGTCAAATAAAACTGTAATAAGTTCCTTGTAGCAACTGATAAATATAATTGTTTTGAGGTTAGAAATATAGCGATGCTTGCAGTGCACAAAAACTAAGGAACGGCGATGGTCATGAATTTAATTCAATTCATTGATTAAGATTAGGCTTATGTATCATCATTTGAAATTTAACGTATTTTTATGAATGTTTATTTGTACGTTAATGAATGGTTTTCTTGAGTGGAAATTTCGAATATAGGGAGCAGTTGCAAAAAATGGAACAATATGCCTTCTGGTAGAAATCACCACGATTCCGGTGGCTATTATGTAGTATGGTATAAGGTAACTGTTTGGAATTCTGGACATCTTGCTCGACAGAATAGAATGGGTTTCTGGGTTTCTGGGTTTCTGCAGATGGGAATTTGAAGCGAAAACTATATAAATATAAGACCTGTGGCTATCGAGAGCTGCAACCTGCAGTTGCGGAAAATGCAACAATAAGCGCATGCATAAGCCCCAAGGCCAAGCAGATTCAAATCGATCCTGCGGTACAGTGTTGTGATCACAGACGGTCCAATCGCCAAGAGGTAACCATATAGTTGTATATTTCGCCGGTTAAGTTATTAAACTTTGCATGCCGAGATGCAATATCATTAATTAATCTAATCCTTACTAACACAAATGCTCAGAAAGAATTAGATATATCATTGGCAACACTAGTAATATTTCAAAATCCTTGCCTTGAGCTAGAAAAGCAAAAATTGCTTGTGATGCTGAGTTCAGTCAAAATCAATTTCAAGAACATGCAAGATCGGAAAAAGCTGTAAAATTTTATCAAACTTTCATTAAGAGGAGTTCGTAAAAGTAATAAAGATACCGAACACTCGTTAAGCTAAAGTAAAGACACAGGGGAAATCTAACTAATTTGCAATGACAACGCTAATACATTTCATAATTTTCATGTCTTGATGTTTAAAGAGATTAAGGTCATTAAGGAATACGGTTCCAAAATTGACAAGCCTCGCCTCCCTAATTTTCTTTGCCCGCGCCTCAACCCCAACCCTTAAAACCGCCAGCTATACGCAGGCTAAAAATTGACATGGTCGCCATCTTTTCAGTTAGTTAAATGATGTCGGTTGTACTGATTGTATAGTCATGCACAACTAAACAAATTCCCAAAGAAAAATATTCTGCCATGCATGTACTAGTAGAATAAGTGTTCTAGGCTCGTTTGCTAGCACTTGTCGAGTTATTTATTTCACCGGCTCTGTTTGAAAGTCGTCGTGATGTTTAGCTTTCTGCTTGAGGTCTATCTATTGCTGACTTTGAGCATTGCATGACATGGCGTCACAGACAGTGGTCAATGGTGATAATTTTTCACTCGTATTCATCCATTTCATTTTCATTTGATCTCCTAAGTCCAATACTATTACTAAATGTTTATTTTCGAAATTAACAATTGACAGAGGGAGTCGACTGTTCTATTGATTCAGAATATAATCCAGCCAATAGAATGCTATTTGCAATGAAATAGTAATTCCTAAATAAACACAGTTGGATAATTGAATTTTAAATGCGAAGGCTGAGATCTTTTACGTCTGCAATTGTTGGGTGCTGCTCACTGGTATAATAAATTGGGATATATATCTTGCCTCATGTCTGGGTTATTTTGTTATTAACGCTCGCTGTTGTTAACTTTCTGTTGTCTATATTGATCAGCCGAATTATGGAAAACAAACGTCGATGAACAATTGAGCAGGTGGCCAACTATATAAAGAATATATTTTTGATAATTTCCTAATTTATCACTATCAGCCAACAATTTAATTATAGATCACGATATCTTCGAATAACAAGGTGCATAGAAAGACATCATCAGCTTTTTGCCATTTATCAACCATCTTTATGGACAGTAATCAGTATAGAAAACAAGATAAGACAAGTAACTGATGGAAGATCTGGAACTGACTGGAACATGTCCTTTGATAACATATACAGGAAGTGATGAATATCAACTACCGACACAAAAACATCAAGAACAGCTGCACAAAACTACGGCCACACAACTTAATGATCTTAATTATTTAAAGAAATTTGGCAGCAAAAATAATTTTAAGATAACTGATAAAATCTTGAGATTGTACAACACACCTATCGAACGAGAAATACCGTTTAAACGAGCACGGAGTATTGCGGCAAAAACTGCGAAACATTATCAGGAAAATTCATGCAATGAAAATGAGTTATCTTTCCCTAACTTGGAAAATCCTAATTCCAAGAAATCGACGCAGACGCACATTTTGCAACTTTCAAACAATTTGGTGAATGACAGTTTAAATGCACATAAACGTGCGGAGCAAACTCCAATGGCGTCAGTAACTACCATCAATGACAACTCTGGCGCCTCGCAGTTAAAAATGTTAGATAAAATTCGCCCCAGTCATCCGCAGTTTGCCAAAGAAATTAAAGTTAATCCAGAAGAGGCGTTAAAGATTAACTCATTAATCCTTGCAGAACGATCAAACGTACAATTAACCCCGACATCACCACCGCATAACATTACATTCCCAAGCATAGAAAACACTAGCCAGGCTAACATAACTACTCCTAAATATTGGTGGAATTATCTTAACCAAAAAATTGCTAAAAAGAGGTCCACACCGAGCTTGCATAAAATGTGTAAGCTTTGTGAATTGAATTCTGAACATGGGGACATTATTAAGCATAGTGAACTAGGGAAAGACACGTTGCATATTGATTTGAAACGTTTGACTGAAGTTCGCAGTAAGAATTGGTCGTCTTACGGACACTATACTAGCGCTCACAAATTGAAATACACGAAAAGACAGAATATTTTATTGAAAAGTGCAGAAAAACAATTGGAAGTCGACGAGGATTATCTAAGTGTTGATGTGGATAAACTGATGAATATATACAAAGAAAAGACAATTTCTGACGTCATGGAGTCGAACGCAGCTGGTGGGTATATTCAAACACAACAAGATGCTGATATTAGCAATGATATCCAGCGGTTAGGTTCTGCTCCCGAAAGGAAAACCCATTCGCAGGCTAGCAATTATAACCAGAATGTACGCAACGAAGGAATTAAATCTTTCACCTGCCAAGAAAAATATGCTCCTCTTCAACGTCCCACGACAACGAAGCTTCGATCATGTATAAATTTTACTAGCAGGAAAACGTGTTTTACAAAAGTATCATGATGATGAATATATAATTTATATATATTTGTGCTATGTCAAGCATTAGCCTATATTTTTAACACAACTAACAGCTATTGTCTTAAAAAATGATCACATATGACACATATATCTACTCAGTCAATCATACTCATACAGGGACTCTATAACCTAAAGAGTACATGCTCTATTCCTTACAAAGAGTTTTACGATTAATAAAATAAATAAATAAATAAATTTTATTATAATAAAAGCACATTAAATATTAAATAGATGCAACAATGATACTGCACGAGTTTAATTTTAATTCAGTAAAAATTATAACTTACCCGTTTCCTTTAATAAATTCCACGTAATGAAATTCATTAATACTAATTCGTCGTTTGAATTTGATGCATGTACTCGCGTGTAGCTCTGCAATAGCTTGTCGTATTATTGATTGCGCGTAAGAAGCTAAAAAACAATGTTAAAGTTTTAGTTTTTAATACTCCTCTTCCCCGAAGAAATCAACTTTCAGTCTATTATCTAGGAGCTGACAGTTTCACAAATTCCTACTTTTGGGGGCCACCAAGCGTGCCAAGAAGCTAATGACCATATGTTGAGCGATCGGTGCATTAATTAACATATAAACCGACACTTCAGCAGCAGGACCAAACTTCCGCATCACACATTACCCCATGCACTTAATTTGGGTAATATATTAACACATTATGTTGGTTTAGTCGGCGTTCGTAATCAGCGCCTACAATGATCTTTTTAATTCGCAGAATAAAGACTGAATTTATTAAGTTAGATCGAAATAACTGGACTGATGTCACAAACGAACCCCTCACCCCCACTTCCCCCCATTTTTCTCACCGGATTTGGACAAATGGTGGCGTGTCCTCCCGCTCGGCGCCAACCATGGGCCACCTCTTGCAATTTTTTCATTTCTTAACTGAACAAAAAGTGAAGGAAAAAACCCTCTGTAGTTGTTTCCCATTCAGGTAAGCACACATGACAAGTGGATTTAACTTTCCAGAAAAAACTGCATAAACCAGAAGTTCATTTTTCTCAAGTTTACTGCAAGGCTCTTTCGCAACTGACTCCGTTCTTCATGAAATGTTAAGTCATTGTTGACTGAGGTTGACGGCTACTGTAGCATCTGATAGCAAGTATGATGAGAAGAAATAGCTGACTTAACTAATTACAACGCAAACCGTCAAACACGGTTTAATTTACTGTTGTTATTGCTGATCTGATGAGTCTCCTCAAAAACTGCCTTGCGGAAGAAGGAAGATCATCGGAGTTTCAACTAGTTCACTACACTCACCTGCGCTATGGTAAAGTAGAAAAAATGATAAGGTACGCGGAATCGCGGACGGGCTTATTCTTATTAATCTAAAAGATAATCTTTTAGAAATCTTACATAGTTGGTTGTTGATGATATATGGTACAACTCCATTCGACCACAACCTCACTCCATTGGTCACAGCACTTCGTTTGGTATTCACTGTTTGATTAGCAATGATATTCATCATTGTCTTATCAATAATCATATCACCTTCCAGAAGGTCTGTATACAAAGATATAAAAGTAAAGTAATGTCATGGTTTGGATCTGAACCGAAACAGTTTAAAAACACTCGTGGTCCTTCCTCAATATACTGAATCGATTAAATATAGTATGTCTTATTCCTTGTTCTTTATACAAATGCTAATATCAACGTTTCTTTAAATTTTCAGGCAGTTCAGACACAAATAACGGCAGATACGTTTAGGTACGGACTCTAGAACGCAATGAATGAAAATTCTTAAGCCTCATTTCACAAATTTTATTACTCGGCCTGATTGTACTGTAGTTTATTAAAAGCCCGTGTTCATGAAATCCACATTGAAACAATATATATAAGACATATTATCATGCATATACAGCTATTTCAATTAAGGTTGTCCCCCGAGCAAAGCGAAAAGTACGAGCGCGAAAGGCTGCTGGGAATCGCTAATAAATATATGAATTTATTAGGGATTCCCAGCAGCCTTTCGCGCTCATATTCGACTTTTCCGCCTTGCTCGGGGGACAACCTTAATTGAAATAGCTGTATATACATGATAATATGTCTTATATATTTTGTTATACCTTTCATGTCTTACAATTAGGCTATATATATATATATATAAATAAACAAGGAACTGACATTGTAGACTTCCTGAAACATTGTGTGATCCTGCATCATCCAGGTATACCGGAACATTTAATATGTTCCCAATGTCTCACCTCCGCCCACCCCTCTGGGAGTGGCGTTGATGAGTTCTTGTGAAACAGGTTCTCTAAATCGAATCCTAACCCTAAGTTTTAATTTTGTTTCTGTGATTCTATGCAAATCAAGGTTAGAATTAATGTAATCTCTTAAATATCACCAGCAATCCGATATATATATATATATATATATATATATATATATATATATATATATATATATATATATATATATATATATATATATATATATATATATATATATATATATATATATATATATATTAGCGACTGTGAAAAAAACATATCCGTACTTTTTAGGAACACTATTTTCAGAGGAATTATTGCAACGGAGAAATGTTGTTTCGTTCAACTTTTGAAAATTGTACATTCCATATCGGATAGATGTTTTTTGTTGTCAAGTGGTTTAGATATGGTTTAGACAAGTATTATTGATTGCTGGTGATATTCATTAAGAGATTACATTAATTCTAACCTTGATTTGCATAGAATCACAGAAACAAAATTAAAACTTAGGGTTAGGATTCGATTTAGAGAACCTGTTTCACAGGAAACTCATCAACGCCACGCCCAGGGGGGTGGGCGGAGGTGAGACATTGGGAACATACTAAATGTTCCGGAATACCTGGATGATACAGGATCACACAATGTTTCAGGAAGTCTACAATATCAGTTCCTTGTTTATACTGTCCTCTGTGGATGATTTCTTCCTTTGCAGTCCAGATCAGTATGTAACCGAATGTAAATGGAGTACAGGATTTCTTCTTCCATATCAATGTCAAGATATTTTTAAAAAAGAATACTTTTAAATCGCCACTGTTCTGGAGATAGCCTTTTGGTGCTTTTGCTTTTTTTTTAAAGTTAATAAAACAGCCAATATAAGGAAATTTTAAAAGACTAGGTCAAAAAGTCAAAATGTTATAGTGCTTCTAAATATTTGAAGAACGTAAACCGGTCAGTGAAATTTGAAAAATCGCACCGCGATGTCGAATCGTGTCCGGTGTGTCTTGGCCTTTAATGAGTTTGCTTTATTGTGCAGCAGACGTTCTAGTAGCGACTGAAGAGTATATGTACAGACTTTCTGCAACCCTAACACAACCCGAATTTTAGATTTTATTCCAATCTCTTTAATCCCTTAGTGACTTTCACTCTAGCGCAAAGTCGGCCGGTAAATTTGCTCAGCTAGACTTCACTTACACAGTTAGACGATAGTCTAGACTCCCCCTCACTACTTAAAGTGTCCTCTCACACCACCTGACACCAAAAAATCTACCTCAATGACGGAATCCACAAGAAAATAGGCTCGATCGGTACCTATTACTACTTTTAAAACATTATTTGGAGTTTTTGAATTCGTTGGAAAAGGCATAAAGCCAATCTCGAAATTTTTATTAAAATTAATTGTATGCAAACAATGCTGATACACAGGTTTTAATTAAGAATAATTTTAAAATAGAAAATCTGGCAACGTATTTGTGAACTAGTTTTCGGTATAGTAGTATACGAGTGTTTGTTGCAACTATATAGCATGAAGCGAGTTTTCGACTAAATGGGTAAAAATCTACTGCTGTAAAAGATTAAGTAATGATCGACCAATTGCAAGATTCATAAATTAATTGGATACTACACTTATGTTTTCTCACAGAGTGTCAACAATATTAAAATGTGTCCAATTCATTACAAATTCATAGCAGCTTGTCGTAAAGTAGCCTCTCTTTGACGTCTAGCTCTAATGAAAGATGCAATTTAACTCATAACCCCGTACTGTATAAACTATTATTGATAGTAATTACGTGACAAGAAATAATAAGAGCTTGATAAGGCTTCCTATAAAGTACGCCTTGAATGTGCCAAAAAGAGTTTTTATTTTACTGGTGCAAAAACATTCAATGATCTGCCTACTGACATTCGGAAAACCGAAACATTAAATCATTTTAAAGTCAAGTTACAGAACTTCTTTCTTAGTTGAACATTGAACTTGTATAGCTTTTAACTTGTAGTACACATTTTTATCTATTTTAGTCTTGAATATTTTGCAATTATTGTAGATAAAAGATCCTAAGTAGAAGATCCTAAGATCCTAGTGGATAGCAGTGAAGATCACTGAGTAGGTTTCCTGTTTAAATATTACAAATAGTTATAATAATATTAATAAAATTAATTGGTGGTATTTATTAATAAAATTAATTGCTGGTATTTATTAATATTATAAGATAACAAATATTTTCGAGTTCAATTTAACTATGATTTTAGCGTTTAGGCTGTAGCCTGTACACCACGGTTGATTTTAAGTCATAAAGCTAATTATACTTAAAAATTAGTAAGACGGTAGTCAGATTATACCAGTAGCTGCAGCATTAGTCGTTATGAATTTTAGAACCTCATTAAGTGCTAGCAGTCTTTGTTGAATATGGACTCATGTCAATGGTTCACAGATAAAATTAAACAAGAGTCAAGAGCCCGCGCTTCGAACGGAATCAACACTGTCATTGGACTCAAATTTAGTCAATGCAGTTTTTTAGTGCCACACGCACGATCACATATTAAGCCATTTTCCCCAATACTAAATTATTAACAGGATAACGAAGTTCTCTAGTCTGTACCAAGTAAGGCTCCCACTCTATTAGTCTTCAATATCACAGCCCTATATCGCAGTATGAGCTGGTGCATTATTAGGATATGTGACTCTCAAAGGCACTCATAGAACCTCGAAGCAAATAGAGAAGAAATCAGACACCCTGTTAATCTATACTTACCATTTTCAGTCACTGTAGTCGTCTTTGTACTTTTAGCGGTGTCCTGCTTTCCAGCAACTGGTGCGGTTTGGCCATGACTACTGATTTGAAGTAACAACAGCAATACAACGCCGAAATGAATCATGTAGGGCATACTGAAGATTATTAGCGCTGCCTCTTATACAATACTTGATGAAAACTTTACAAGTATTTTCAATTAAGTGCAGAGAGGCAAAGCGGTGTGAAGAAGATATACTATGTTAATGCAGCTGAACAATCACATCGCACATGGCGTTCATCCAAAAAACAAACATTATTATTCACGATACAGCGATATATATATATATATATTAAACTAAAAATATAAAATAGTTTGAATTATGCTAATTTTATTCATCCGCTTATTTCTTCGAAATAGAACCGAATCTGACCAGGGTTATCTCCTGCTGTCATGTCCCCCAGCTCGGGAGAGCGGATTTGAATTCCCTACTCAATATACTGGGCGATTTCTAAGTGGCCTGATATACCAGCCGATGTTAACGATGTGAGAAATTTAGCCTATGCCTTTTCACTCACGATTCGCGAGAACGAGGCTGTGACGTAATTATCGAAAGGGTGTGTTCCACCCACACGTATCTGGCGAATACACATGCTTGCTTATCTCGAGCGGACGCATAAAACATGACGTACCGCCTAGATTAGAATGCAGATATAGAGAATAATACATGGGTGCGCGGAAATACCAGATTTATTTCGAGTGTCATTGAACATGATATCTCACGAGTGAGTGCAGCGAACGAGTGAGATATCATATTCAACACGAGAAATAAATCTGGTATTTCCAAGCACCCATGTATTTTTCTGTTTATTATATAAACAAAATTCAGTGAAAACCAATAAAACGTCCGTGGCAATGCGTTTTACAACAAATGATATTTTCACACGTAAAAATATCGTATTTTTTACGTGTGTTTAAATACGATTTTTCCCAAAAATTCTATATAACACTTATGTTTATATAATAAATTAGCATATATGATAGAAATAAAAAGAACTGTCTTTGCCAGTGTAAGTAGTGCCAATCAAATGAACAAGCTTTCGTTGGTAGGATTCGAGGGCCTTCGCTCGAAACGCCGAAATTCTCCTTATATTTTTCAGGTAGTTGTATCCCTACCAACGAAAGCTCATTCATAGGAATAAAAAGACCTATATATCGGCCAGCGCATATATCAGACTGGGGGGAGTACAACACTACACCATCTGTCGTCTGTTTTCCTCAGTGGGAGTTAAAAACTAAAATTAAACAAGCTAAATGTAAACAAAAATTAAACTAAATATAATTCAAACCCAATTAAAATAAAACAAAACTAAAAATAAAACTTAAGTTAAACAGCAAATTAAAAGCGAAATGAAAATCAAATTTCTTTCAAATTATGTTGACGATTTGCTAACAATTCGGTGAAGTGTTGTCGCCAGCACACCTTAATTAAGGCCTCATTTTTCATGAAATTCGAATGTAACCAGAAATGTTCAAGATCGGAGGAAACCCGACAGGATAAATCACTGCTTAAAACAAAAGCGATGGTTTTTGTGTTTTATTGTTTCATTGCTATAATCACCAAATACAAAACCTGTTCATATACGGCGATTTCATTCCAAAACCGAAGAATTAAGCCCCGTTTACACGAGCAAATTTTATTTGACAAATTTCATGTGTCAAAGATATTTTGCTCGTCTAGATGATAAACTTGTGACAAATTTATTGTGACAAATGCATTTGAACAAAAGCTAGCATGCTAGCTTTTGATCAAATGTAATTTGTCAAATAAAATTTGCTCGTGTAAACGGGGCCTAAATCATCTTTCAAATACGAAACAATAGAGGAGGGTATAAGTGAATTAAACTATGTCGCGCTTTCCAATTCTTTCATAGGCCACTAAACAGTTACACATATACTATACAAATCCCAGTTCTTATACACAATTACAGTTAATATTTAACATCTCAACTACAATTACAAGATGAATAACATGCTCTCTACCATGCACGTTTTCAAATATGACAAACAATATACAGTACAGTGCAGTACAATTGGAAATATTAATACCAGTTGTTTTTGTTGATCATATTCAAATACTGAAACTAAACCCGGAGGTTTTTACCAACGCAATTTTGTTGTATTAACAGAGGATATTACACGGCAGCACGACGACATCACAGAGCAAATACATATACAGAGCTGTAACTGACCGTTGTAAACACTGCGGAAGCATACGTTTTCATGTACCCACTTTTTTCAGGCGACCGAGCAAAAAATTATCAACTGCGCGTGCTCGGCAAGTTCCGCGAGCAGTTAAAGCGAGTCGTCATCCAATCAGATGCATGCATCTAGTAACTTGCCGAGCATGCGCACAAAAAAGTGGGTACACTAGTTACAACTCTGTATATGTATCTACTCTGTGACGATATGACTTTTTATCTTCGAGTGGTGAAAACAATATTTTACGAACGAGCAAAATATTGTTTTTAACACGAGAAGATAAAAGTCATATCTTCAAACCACCGTGTAATGCTTTGTTTATTATATAGTCCCAAGCAAAAAATTTTGAAACTTCACGCTCAAAAGCAAATTGGAAAAAGTCACGTGATCGATATCTTCACTAGTGAAGATATGGAAATATCTCACTGTGTATTTTTCAGTATCTCACTCTCTATATATATAATAAATATATACATATATATATATATGCATGCAGGAGAGTAATATTATCCATCATAGATAAAAACACTATCATATGAACTACTTTAGTCTATTTACAATTTACAATCATAGACAATTCCTATAATTTAACATTCAATATTACTGGTGCATTTATCTTCCACTTTACGGGACTGCACCACGGACTGTATATACAGTACTGCTCGATATACGTATAATAGTCACAGAGATGTTTTATTATACACATTAGCGAGCTTAAGATGCACCAAATCTGCGACGCGACTAAAAAACAGTCGCTAGTAATTGGAGACAAGTTTTACTTTGTTTTTTCTCGTGTCCCTGGCTTTGTTTACCAACAACAATCCATAGTTTTCATCCGTGAAGTGAAACTGTGACAATAGCGGCAGTTTTTTTGGCACGTCCATGTCGTAGATTTGGTGTATCTTAAGCTCCCTATTGTATACACATGCAGACCACTTTCACAAATGACTACAATTTAAAAACATTTTCTGCGAATCAGTATCAAGTTAGCACAACGTAGCCAGATTTACTGATATTCAATTTATTGATATTCTGTAAATTTCTGTAGCGATTGGCTATATCACACATGTAGAAGTATTAATTAGCAATGCAATTTCAATCGAGTGGAAATTGTTAAAACAAGACATGCCAGGGCCGTAGAAAGATCGATAATTAAATAGTTCATATATTCATGTTTACAGACCGTAAAACAATCGATTTCAAAAGAGGTAAGTAATGCAGAACACGAATATAAGGAATATGAGCCCCCCCAATTATCGATCTTCCTACGGCCCTGCATGCACGGGGAAAAAAGTGATGAAAACTGTCAACAGCATCTAATTTTACGTCATTTCCTGTGTTCTGTTCTGGCTGCCCTTACTACTTTAAAATAGAGTTCAGAACAGAATAATATACAAAACTAACAGAACTTCAAATTGGCAATCATTGATGAAAGTGGTCTACAACTATTGCGCATTTTAGGCTGCGTTAACACTATAACAAACGGCAAGCACTCCGTTAAAAATTCACTTAGTATTGTGTTTACGCTATAACGCAGTGGTTTGCCGTAGCGTACCAACCATGGACCACTATGCTTGGTACTCCGGATGCAAATCAATACGCTTGACCGGAAATTTGTCGTAGTGTTAGAGTGTAAACGCGGCCTTATTGTACCGTGTCTTTGCACGTGACTTTCACGTTTGCATGTGACATTAATGACGCTATTTTGGTTGATTTTTCATCTACACATACACCTGATAAAGATTCAAGTTTCGGCCCTGGAAATTCAAAATGTACTGAAAGGGTGTCTGTTGCAAAGGACGATTTTCGCGTAATGTAGATGTTTTAAGTGGTAGCATTGGTCTCTTAATTCTTAAAACATAATTTGTCAATGCCCCAGTAAATCATATTAGCAATTAATGCAAAAACAAAGGCGAAGTTTAAAACTACAAATGACACAATGAGAACAAACTATCGCTTTGGGTCACGCCGTGTCAAAATGTCCGTGACGTTTAAGTCCCTGGAGATTTGTTGCCTGGTTAGTCCGCTTTTTTGGGACACCCAGCGTGAAGCATCGGGCGAAATTTGAATGGTAATTTGCATTCCAAACATCGGTAGCATACCCAGTAGTAACAGATTGTCTGCAATACTCGCGTGTCTTTCTAACTTTTCAAATTGGTAATAATCTATGAATAATACCTATAAAACTAGGCTGTCGTAACTCTTCAAAGTGAGCAAGAAATTTTTGAATACACATGTACCCAAATCTTAGTACTGTACCTCATTTAAAACACAGTGAAGACAGCTTTAATAAGTCTGAAAAGCCCGTATTCTGCACATGCATATGGTTGGTCAAGGCGGCATTCTACAAATTTTTCAAACACATAGACCGGACATTATGTTTTTCTATTTTTCAATATTTTTCCAGACAGTAATGGATGTCCATTACATTAAACCACTTGCTGGAAATTTGTTCGTAACCAAAAACAGTGTGCTTTGCGTACGAATCAACGTTCGTGAGTTGTGATTGTACAGTACATTCAATCACTATAGTGTACATATATTGCTGGTATTGCAACACATACAAACCTTGACCAAACATATGGCTCATTTAGCAGCAGTGATCTGTAGTTAATATTTTTTGTTTTAATGACTAGAATGCTTTTGTTGAATGAATAACCAGTGAACTATATACATGTTATATAGTTCAGTGTGAATAACATGCTAAATTTTAGGAGTAATCAACATATCAGCTTCCACAGCTGTATACAACATATAGGACATATTTAACAGTCGATTGCTAATAAAAATTAGACTTACCAATATATCTCTACATACCAGTTCCAGCTTGACTTAATACAATTGCTAATTGCAGATTTCAGACTAACAATCACTACATGTATAGTAAAACACAGAGCTTGATCATTACATTCCTTGCACAGGTGCACCACAACAAACTAGCGTAAAATATGCTTACTGCTATATATATTCAGTCACGTCCTCTTCCTCAGTAACATTCTTGACCAATATTATACGGTTAAAAGCTCTCAATCTTCTCCACAGTTGTACATACACCTTACATTGAACGTACATGAAAACAAGTCCTCCAGTAAAACCAATAGCAACTACAACAAGTTTAGTCCAAAACGGCCAGTCGAGTTGTCCCTGACGTATCTCCTGTGCTGTGCGTTCAATTAAAACCCAAAGTGACCATACAACACACGTGATCGCGATCACATGAAATGAAACTGAACACAAAATCTTCCTTCTTTCGCTATGAGTCATCTTCAAAGATTGCCACTGTTTGGAAAGAAATTATAAATACAATGTCAAACAACATGCACTGTTTAACAACTGAAGCAGACACGAGGGGAAGCGCAATTTTTCAACTGCCAAAATTGCTTGAGAAACTGCGAAACGTTTGTCTCATTGCTTTTTAAATACGAAGTTGTCATTTGACATACAAATAACAAATAGCACACGCATTATATGCGTGCACCGAATATACAATATTTCACGGCATGGTTTACTTTCCAGACCCTGTTGATGATATAAGAAATCCATTAAATAAATAATGCTTATAAGTAAGCCACAAACGAGAGATCCCAGAAGGCATGTAGAGCCACTAGAGGTCGTATTACCAATCCAAAAATTAAAATAAATCAGAAATAAATCACTTAAAATTAAACAAAAGTTAGAAAGCAACGAAATACTTCGCCACAAAATGAAAATAACGAAGTAAAACGTTACTCTTAAAACGACTTCGTTCCAAGTAAAAGTACTGCAGAAAAAGTTTACTTTGTTAATGCTGACTTCTCAAAATTGTACTCAAGTACAGTAACGAAGTACATTTACTTCGTTACTTGACACCACTGTATGTACTGTACGTACCTTCCTGAAAGGTTTCACTTTGGCCTCCATCTCAAACTTATATTGACATAATTCACATTTCTTGATATCAGAACTTTTGATCCACTTTTGCAGGCAACTCTGGTGGACAAACAATAATGTCCCAGAGCATAAACATGGTCTAATCAATGTTTGGTCGTTACTTTCAGTTCGTTCGCAATGACAAATCCTGCAAAATTCTCCAGCTGAAGATACTGTTGAAATACAAGACACACTTCGTTTGATGTCTGTCATACAGCTATCTGAACCATGGAAATTTATTACATGCATTTTGTCAGTTTCACTTGCATCACCACCTGAGTCTGAAGATCCTGGTGAATCTTCAGCAGGTACTGTATCATCAGTACATTCTGGTAAAAACTCTTGCTCTTCACTTGCCTACAATTAATTAAGTGAAATAACAATTTACTTTACTGTAATATTTACCCCATTAAGCTTCAAACAGCAATACGCCCAAATGCACCCGACTATTTTTTACTTTCTCTAACACCAGACGATTTCACTCATAAAGGGGAGAGCCTTTGCTCTCTTTCCTATGCAGGAAAAACTGAGGAGACCTGATGAGAAGGATGGAGATGCATATGCTGAGATGTGGGTTCTGTTGAAGGACAAGATGGAGGAATCAAGAAATCAAGCGAAGATTTGGGGTGATAGACATGCAAACGAATTCGTGGTTACTGATTGGCTAATAGCCAACTGTGAAATTGTCACATCAACAGACAACTCAACAGCTGACCAAATATGGATTTTTGACATAATACTCAACGGTGTGATGTCATAACGTTGATAAAATAATATTAAATGCCAATAGTGGCTGTCGAAGAAGTGCCAAAGGAATTGGTTGATCAATGTGAGCAAACATATTCCGAAAATAGATATGGTTTAAATTTATTCTTTCTATATATATAATATATATATATAATATATATATAATATATAATATATATTATATATATAATATATATAATATATATAATATATATATATATATATATATATATATAGTTTAAATTTATTCTTTCTATATATATAATATATATATATAATATATATATAATATATAATATATATATATATATAATATATATATATATATATATATATAATATATATATATATATATAATATATATATATATATATATATATATAATATATATATATATATAATATATATACCGGGTGGCCCAAAAAAAAGTACTCCTGTTTGATTCGTAATAACATCTAAACAAGTATAGCTTTTAAAGAGAAATAACTTGCATCAAATAGAGGAAGGACTAACTTAGACTTTGATATATTACAGTTGTATTTCACTTAAAAATTCACGGAGATATTAATCTTTAAATTCGGGAGGATATTTCTGGATGTGTCTGAAATATGCAAAAATCGGCATATCAAATATTAATCAAGATTTGCCCGACTGAAACATGCACTATTACCAGTAAATAAATGACACTTGACAAATTGTTTATTATGAAACAAAGTATTATTATATCTACAAAATACAAGCAAGATTCAGTCGTCCGAAATTCGCGTGTGTTCCTAGCACGAATACGTTTCCTTATTTCATGAGACCACTGCATCGCGAAGGATCGTCATTGGATCGTTCGTAGTTCTGAATTAGGGCATGCTGTCACAACAGAATTGTGAAGCTCTTCTAACTTCTGCAACGTTCTGAAATCTTGTTAAGAACACCCAAACTCTTTTGCCGTTTCTTAATCTTGGCAAGTTCATGGAGTAAACTGAGAATTATATGAAACACAATCAAACCATACAACTCCATAAGACATAACAATTAAGCAACTCCCCAGAGACATGCAACATTTTTTGAACAAAACGTAACAAAATAGTAGCGTTGATACGGTGATGTGTATTTGCAAAAAGCAATATTATTTCCTTCAATAAAGAATATTCATCCTGCTCTAACCGAGAAATAATCTACTCAGTCTGTTTGAACCATTAAAAACATAAAAAAATTAGGCTATTTAAGAATACGAAAAATTTAAGCGCCTGCCTTCCATGGTCAGTCTTTCATGTACATTTAAGTTTGCAAAGACCTAATGTTAAATACTTGCATAATTTCGAACGTTCATATTTCAGGAAACAATGAGCTAAGACTTACATGTAAGATGTCTAAATCTACGCCATATCCCTTACAAACCTTAACGATAATTCGCTGAAATACAAGTTAGCCTAATATGTCATTAAGCAAACAAATGCTGGAGTTAATATTTGATATGCCGATTTTCGCTAATTTTAGACACATTCCAAAATATGCTCCCCATTTTTAACATTAATATCTCCGTGAATTTTTAAGTTAAATACAACTGTAATATAGCAAAATCTAAGTTAGTCCTTCCTCTATTTAATGCAAGTTATTTCTCTTTAAAAACTTTACTTGTTTAGAAGTTATTACGAATCAAACAGGAGTACTTTTTTTTGGGCCACCCGGTATATTTATATATATAATATATATATATATATATATATATAATATATATATATATATATATATATATATATATATATATATATATATATATATATATATATATATATATATATATATATATATATATATATATATATATATAACATTCGTATTTAAATATATAACATATATATATATATATATATATATATATACGAGTAGGTTTGTGTATACGAAACGCAAAGAGTGCTCAATATCATAAAGATAGAGCAAATGTAGAATTTCGCTTACCTCAAAATTCCGCAACAGTCTGTTGATGATTCTTTACTGATGAAACAGACTGTTGCGGAATTTTGAGGTAAGCGAAATTCTATATATATATATATATATATATATATATATATATATATATATATATATATATATATATATATATATATAAAGATGAAAATGTTCTAGAGTGTGTATTATATAATTTCCATACCCAGCGCAAGCAGAAAGATGTTGTCTGCCGCGGCTGGGTCTTGAACCCGTGACCTTCGAATTACTAGATCGACGCTCTACCAACTGAGCTACACGGTCAGACGGATTTTAAGACTGGAAACACTTTCATGTTCTAAAACTTTTACATATAGCAACCACCTCCTTCACATTTGTTTTGGTCAATTGTATTCTCTCGGAAAATCTCTCCATCCTTTCTCTACTACACAAGTATACCTATAATTACTTAAATTAATATACTTATCAAAGGCTAATTGTTAGTGTACTAAATCCCAAGGCAAAAAAGGAAAAAACTGAAGCAGTGGTTCATGCAATTTTGCAAAATAGGGATAACGAAGAAACATTTGTGTAGATTACAATGGAATGGAATGGCAATAATTAGGTGATCAACAACAACAGTAATAAGCAACCATTGAAATGGCAATAATATTTGAGAAAGTTACAATCTGTCAAACAATAAATGATTGTTAACAATAAATAATAACAGTGCACGAGAAATAGATAAGGACCTTTAGTGTTTTGGTAAGGCTTATGAGGAATGGGTGTATGAGGGCATAATAATGAGATAAAGGAAAGCCAAAATGAGACATTATGGAGATGGGGATAAAGGGAACGGAGGCATCTGTAATGTTACTGACATGGCAATCAATATTGTACTGTTTTCCAAGGCGTAATATGAAATAGGTATGGTTTTTGACTGATAGAAATGTGTGCTGAAGTGTGCCAAAGTAAATGCAGAAGCAATTTATAATTGAACATAATGAAGCAATTCATTATGTTCCTCAGCAGAAAATGTTGCCAAAACAAGTAGCAAATTGGCAAAACAACATCAGCAATTATTTTGAAATAGTTGAATTACAAGGACTGTGGTGTACTGTGTTACTAGACAGAAATGCCTACTGTATATATAGGAGTTTCTCACAGCTCATTGCTTATCAGCTGCTAATGGAGTGAATAATTTTCTTAGACAGTACACAACTGTAGGATGCCTACTCATTCATCAGTTCAATATTAATAGTGTACATTATTAATTTCCTTCCTAGCCATATCTATAATGGTATTGAGTTTTAGATAAGGATATGTTGTCACAAGATGAGATGTGGTAATGCTACTGCACAGGTCAAACTCTGTTACTTAGGGTTTGAGATTTGCAGTATCCTATTCTAACAATATCAATTTTGAATTATGGATACTAGATGTCTATACTGTGGCAGCAGTATCCTATTTGAATACCTCAACTAAAGTTCTTCATGTTTAATCTTTTGAACTCTGTCATTAGGTAATGGCAGGGTGTGATAATACAAGACATTTAGTCATACCTGAGTGTTGACTGGTATGCCAAGCACATGCAATTGCATATACAAACAATCAACCTCAACACGCCTTAGTGCTACCAGTCCAATCATGTTTCATGCCAAGACAAGTCAGACCTATACATATACCAACTAAATTACGGTATTGAATACCTTGGCCTTGGAATGGTCATGTGGTACCAGCAAAAAGTTAAGTATGCTGAAAACAAAGAAGTACCAGACCGTAATAGGGATGTACGTACTTCCTGTACGTAAGTACGCAAATTATCAGAACCTGAATGGGAAACCTCTTACATTTAGTGAAGTTTTGAGTTCATGGCAATTAAATAACATATTGAGTTATAGACTGAAAGCATGTTTTATTTTGAGAATTTGGATACCAGAAGGAGCAATCAAGTGGTCAAGATGGTGGTGGTATAAAGATATGCTGAATTTCTTGCATCAGTTAACCCTTTAAGTGGCAATGCTTCCTGTTGCACCCTACTTTATTATTTTACTTTGTCTAAAGTCAGACAATTAACTCATCAAGGGGAGAGTGCTAACACTCATTGGGTTAATCAAACTATCTGTCCATGCATCACCTTGCTCCTGATGCCATACATTATTATTTTACTCTGTCTAACACCAGATGATTTTGATGACTGTCAAGGGGAGAGTGCTGCCATTAAAGTTCAAACATTTGAGCACTTTTTGAATATACGCTGGACTTCCTGCAGCACAAGTGCTCAAAAATACACTTAATCAAAGACAGCGTTATACTGCTACAAATTGGTTATTTCTGGTACATGACGCATTTTACAAAGCTTCAGATACTTCAGCAATCTAGTACTAGATAAAACAGTAACACATTTAAGAAAGGGCAGGACAGCTGACAGAGATGGGTGAAAAGTTGTGAAATGCCTTCACAATTTAAGGGCCTGTTTACATGGATGTAGGGTGACCCTATCAGGAGGGTTACCCTAGCAAGCGGGTCAGAAAATAGCGAGCGTTTACATGAGGTAGGGTGACCCTACTGCTAGGGCTATGTTGCCCGATAGGGTAACCCTACCTATGCGTGGTCGCTAAGCAGTCTGTATTGGATAAATGGCGTCGAAACGCAAAGTTTTAGCGGCAAGTTGTGTGATGCTATTTATTGGGCCTTTGCTTGCTGCATTTCAATGTTGTGGTCTGTTATTTCCGAGGTTATTTCAATATCGTGGTCTGTTATTTCAATGTTGTGGTCTATTACTCGCATTGCATAAATAAGCGTAAATGTATTCCTTGATATAGTCCAACACAACAGTTTTTCGACATGTTCGGCTGACCAAGGGCATTTATTTTGTTTTTTTGACGTCGATGAGGATGCGCCGGAATTTTGCTTCCTTTTCGCCGTCTTTGACAATTTGTTATCGAAACTACATCATTCGCAGCGTTCTCGTCCAAAGTCAAAGCTTCGTTCTATGCCTCTGGTTCCTTAATTATTTGTAAATTGCTTATCCTTTTTATTTTCTGGTGTCGTTTAAAATACTTGCCAGGCTGATGTGTTCATATATCTAGCGACGCCATCCTTGTTTGTCTGTCACAGTAGGACGTATAAAACATGACCCGCTTGCTAGGGTAACCCTACCTGACGCGTTTACATGGCTTATGTAAACAAAAAGATAGCCCTGCTGCTAGGGTCACCCTATGTGTTTGATAGGGTAACCCTACCCCTAGGGTAACCCTAGTGCTCATGTAGACGCTTCCTATAAAACATATTGAAGTAGGGTAACCCACTTGCTAGGGTAACCCTTCTGCTAGGGTCACCCTACCTCCATGTAAACAGGCCCTAAGTTGATTCAAATGTAAAACCATGATGGTAAAATAGAATATTTGCATGCATACTAAAACATGCCTGGGCATGCACTTCTTTGTTAAATTTAAGGCTGTTTGGCTTTTTTTCATGCCGTTGTGCACCTCTTGACAAGCTCAGTATTGTTTAATTAAGAGGTCTTTTGTGCGAGTCCTTCGTCTGTTGCACAATTGTTTTTAATGAATTGTAAGCACCCCTATATTGCAATTATTTTTCAAACAATGAAGATTTTAATGCTAGAGACAAAAATTAGCATTAATAATCTAGTGAAAAAGTTTTTACCTTAAGCATTGGTGTTTTAGCAAAAAACCACATTAAGCAATAATATGCCCTAATGTGGTACCTGTTTTTTATTCTGCAGCTTTTCTGCTCTGTCTAAAGCCAGGATTCCCCCATCAAGAACTTTGTTCATGAATGGATGGAAAATGCTGAGTGGTCAAATTTGATTCTTCACCCCCAACTGTATGTGACACATAGTGTTTAACCTCTGAGCATTTAATCATAACTATGATTTAATCCAGCTACTAGTTAACACTTTTTACAATTGTTAAATACTTAATTATTTCTTGGTAATGGGTTTTCCCCTGTCAAATAATTGTCTTACACTGAAGTATTAATTGACCTGTGCAAGATTCTCAACAGTGTAATTCACTGTAAATTGTTTGGATTTATTATGCACCTAGCATTACAGTATAACAACCCTATACACTAGGCTATGACTCAAGTACAGTACTTAGCAATTGACCAATAATCTGTAAAAGTAGAACTATCTGTATTTCTGATTGCATAAAACCAACTGTTGAGAAAATATGCACTTTAAAAATGATGTACAGTACATTGTGCATTGGTACAGTTGCATTTTAACACCATATGTTGCTGTGACAAAATTAATGTTTGAAGCATGCCATATTGTAACCCATTTATGAACAGCTGTAACAAACTTTGGTTGCAGTAACATTTTTACATTTGAAATAACCATTAAAAAATCAAAATGAGTGATATCACCTTTACTTGGTCAACTACATTATGACATCATTATAAAATCGGTATGAGGTAGATTGTTTCCAACCTGATACTTGGGGTTTTGGTCAATAATCAGTAATTTCAGATTGCGGCACAATCTGTGAAGTATAGTCACCTATTCTTTCACATATTCCTCTATTCTTGACCTCAAATATTTATAATTATATGTTTAGTCTTGTGTTGTGCTAAACTTCTACTGAGTTGCAATGCTTAAAATTTAATATCAGATACTTGAACAATCTGTTATTAATAAGCTGCTATGAAAATGCCAATTTTCATTCCCAAATATTCATTAATGTTGACAAATAGGCAATAAATCTGGTACAAATATTCAAACAACACAGATATATATTGTTATACTCTCTAGCCTGGGCCTTATAGGTTATTATAAAACTTAAAACTCATGTGGGCTTTAAGGTTGTTTTCCAGAGAATCTTCTAGTCCTAATATGTCTAATATCTACAAATAGTTGAATAAATTATTAGGAATAATGTATCAAGCATAAATTGATAAAATGAATTTTTACCACTGCTAATAGCCATTTTCACACAGAAAAACAAATAGATCAGTAGGTAATAAATAGGTATATCACAATAATATCCAAAGCTTTATTTTTTACCTAAGGGTTTTCTGCCCATATTGTTCTTTTGTTGGCGTGATAAACAATTATAATTCTTAGTTTTAATTCACATACGTCACTGACGCCGTCTTTAAAATAGCGCGACATGAATGCTAGCCTTTGACTTTGTTTTGTTTGCCTAGGAAGATTAACACACTACATACCTTCAACTCTAAAAACAGTTAAGTAATTTTGAAACTGTAAATATATTATAATAGTGTCCCAAAATACTCACAGTAACAGAAAGGTTATTTCTCAATATCTTCAAATCGACAATGCGCCAACACAAGCAGTTTTGCTCGGTTTGACAGAAAATATACATATATTTTCCGCCCACGGTCGTTGGGTCGTATAGATGTTCAAGACAAAACGTGAAAGAAAATTTACACTAAAGTTTTCATTTCCTTATAATGTTATATAGAAAACAAAAACTAGATACGACAATATGAAGACTAAAACAACGATATTTCAAAAAAAATTGATAATACGTGATGGCAAACCTTTGTAGCAAAGTGAAATATAATATCGCCATAATGAAAACATTAAAAATGACGAGCAACAATTGTGTTTCCGTCGCTGTCTTCGGACTAAAACATATTTCACAATTCAATGTCCATGAATGTTATTAAATTCTCTCCATTCTAGGCAGAAACGCTGAGAAAATTATGCCACGACGTGAACGAATATTTGCTACAAGAAAGCAAATATTGTTACGCATATAGGAGCACAACATCAGTCGTTTAAATCCCATATTTCTTTACAAAACTTAGTTAATTTAACGCCACTGCGACGCAAAAATTTGAGAATCATTAAAAATTTAAGTAAGTCCTAAAAGTACCTATTTGTAGTAACTTATACCTCTCGCCATATTTGAACGTGATATGCTTCAATTTTTTACTCACTGTGCACTGTCGTAAGCGGTAAACAAGAACTGAGAAGATGGCAGAATATTGAGGGTATAAGTAAAGAATTATTAAGTCAACGGCACTACAATTTTAGTCGAAAACAACACAAACCTGTTCCACAGGATCTTTCTCAACAACGGGCTCTACATGAACAGATTGGACGGGCATATTCGTCGTCATTTACGAAGTCGTTCACGCACACAAATCAATCAAGTGCACCGCACGACGTTTCACTTCTCACATCAAACCAAGTCCAACCGGACGAAAAACGCTCCCAAGCTACTTTAATAGAATGAGTCAGTATGATAGCAAAACTACAAGATAACACGTAATGATTTCAAGCAATACAACACAAGTTAAGCCATGAAAAGATCCCCAAAGTGACAACAATGTCGATCATAATAATGAAAATGGCCGCTGTCGAGGGTGGCCACTGTATTAGGCACATCTGTTCATCAGCCAATCAGGATGCAGCAAAATAAAATCGTGAAGTCAAATAGATCATGTGAGTTCCTCATTGGCTAGTCACGCTTTATCTCACTCAACATAAAGAAAGTTGTTTCAACAAGGAAAATGTTGGCTTTTAATTCCTGGTCGGTAACCATATTGCAATAGTGTCTACTTGCTTATTAGGGTAAATTACCCCGAGGTAAACCATTGAACTTTTGTAAATCTCGCAGACATAATATTAGAGTAGGTCAGAGTAATAAACATCTTTTCTTTATTCTAAAACAATTCGCCAGGAGCGCCACTCAGTCTCAGTCTTTTCTCAGTCATTATCAATTTTTTTGGCAATTATTCAATCACAGACTGTACCATTGGGGACGAGGTTGAGGCAATGGCAAGGTAAGATGTAGTTATTGTTGATAGAAAACTTAAATTGAAAACTTTAATTTTTTTAAACTGGTACCCGTACCAAATTGATCCGTGCTTGGCCTTCAGTGTAAATAGGAGTAGTCCGAGCATGCACAGATAAAAAATGGTACGGCCACCAAAATTGAGCGTACTTGTAAACGGGCCTCACGTAAGACCCGATCTCTACGCTAGTTGGGTGTTCAACTGAGCAGTAAAGTCAAGAGCGAAGGGCTTCAAGGGCATTGAATGAATTAATACCGTTTTCTGCATCAACTATATGCATGCATGCATCAAATTTTCTTGAGCTGTCGGAAGTCGGGACGGAATCCTCGACATTCAATGCATGACCATGACCAGCCCAGACCTGCCAAGCAACACGCATTAACATGCGTGTCATGCGTGCCGCCTATAGGATTAGGACACGAGTTTCAGTTTTACAGCTATCTTTTTAAACAAAAATGACTGATTACACGGACAAGGACTGATATGGGAGATTTGTTCATATTATCTTCATGCATGCTGAAGGGGGATGATTGATGCCGGGTGACTTGGTAACTCTGCAGGTCTGCCAGGTGGCAGTAGTGTACGTTTAAGAACTGAAGAATTGTGATTTCTCAGACAGATTCCACGAACATTTGACAATGACTGGAATTCAGGAATGAACGGGAAAAGGCAGGGCCCGGTCGTTGACGTGGGCTTTGGGAAGTGGTTTTTGACGTGGCGCCGCGAAATAGCGATGGTAATATCGCACTTGCTACATATGAAATATTTCAAAGCTCCAATTTTCAGCAGAAAACCGTTTATACGCCAAGTAAAAGAGTAACTTGATGCCCACAAATATTTCAAATATTAAAATATTATAAATTTTCAAGTAAATAACCCTCATATAAATCTGAGTATTTCTTTCCTGACCACTTCAAACAGGTGCCAAAACGTCCACGGCTGTTCTTCTCTGACCGTCCTTTGATTTGCGCCCTATTGTTCCAACCCGTTGACCCGCTCATGATCTTAATTTTTTCCGAAGCCTCACTGTAGAAGAGTCAGTATTCAAAAATTTATCCCGAAAATGTTGGAGGAGGAGGAGGCCAACAATTTTCTAGTCATACCATATTTACTGCTTAATATAATACATTTGCCCAAATTTCGAATTGCAAAATCAAATTTTTTTAACAATATCGAAATTTCCTAACAAAAAGGGCACTTTCGATCTTATAGTATTTACAGCAACATTAGCTTGTCAGTATAAAAGGGCACATTTGGTCCTTCCCCTGGTTCCTACGCCCCTGTAACGCAGTTGGACTAAAAGAAGAACCAGGCGCTAGACACGCAAACAAGGAAAGACGCAATTCTAAAGGGGGGGAAATTTTTTGCCCAGCCAGCAAAGTCAATCTGGAAGGCGCACCCACCCTTCTATGCCTTCGTCTTTTCTTGCATTTATATATTTGTCAAAACCAAAAATATTGTAGATGTCATTTGAAAGAGTATATAAGGTAAGAATAGCAAGTTTTTGTACACAAACATGTATTAGGAATCAGCTAGAAAAGATACAATACAATAGACCTTACCGATTATTCTTTTACCCAATGGCCTCGTTTCCATGTTAACTTATTTTAGCATGTCAGAGGCAGATAAAGATTATATTCCCATGTTTTCCTGGACGCATTTGTTTCTTGCTGTTCCTACTAAGCACAAAACATGAGTAAGTATTTGACATGAAAACATTAGGCAAAAAGTGAATTAATAAACGGTAAGGTCTAATGGTCTATTATACAATTATTTTAATAGTGAAGGCATCGAAATAACTACAGCAGTTGTTCTTCCGCAGCGCCTCATATTTCCGTCTTCTGTTCCAGTTGATCACGTCATCTTCCTGTTTTCCTTAAGATATGCACGCACGATAATTGGTTTGGTTTGACAATGACCCTGAAATAGAGTCGACATATCACAAATCATTTCTTGAGTTTACAAGATGATATTATTATTCGGAGTATGTTTTTTCTTATATTGACCGCAATTGGTACCCGCGAGATTTAACGAAATTTCGCCGGTGAAAAGCAGAGTTGCCTATGGAGGAGGCTAAGTTAATTTTGCCTTTCATTTCTTAGCCGCAGTTGGCTGGTATCCATAAAAACAATTACTCAATTCCAATCTGATTGGCTGCGGTTTGGTGTTTCCTTATTCGAACCCCACAGGCACAACCGGACCGGCGTGGAAAAAAGTATAGCCAAAAATTAATTAAAATGTTAAATAGCCAACTGCAACAATACAACCTAAGCCTAGGTATTTTACTGATGTGGACTGAGACATTACGTCGAAGAGACTTAAAACAAAAATTAAAACAAAAATTTAATTTGACGAGCAGTTTTATATTAAAAATGAGGTGAGCGGTTTTAAATTCACCCTTCGGCAAAGCCCTTGGGCAGTTTCATGCAGACTGAACTGCTAGCAATATAGCCCTTACATAAATGGCTGTCGATTTAAATTTTTTTCAATTATGTTCAATTGTTCATATATCCACTGGGTACTGGTAAGGTTACAAGATATCTCAAATTGGGAAATATATATTGCCGGTTTTTCCGAGAGCTTCCTTCTTCAAATACAAACGTGGAGTATGCATGGTTATGTATAAACACTTGAAAGTCTTGTTCTGTGGTGTGCAGGTGCAGTTAGCATGGACTATATTTTCCCACACATATACTACGTAAATAATATTATTACAAGAACAATTCACAAAACACAGCGGTCAAAGACGTAAGATGTTTTGAGATTGATTCCTTTAATTAAAGGAACGTAGAGCCGTAGTCAGCCCCAAACGAGTGGGGGGATCTAATCCTTCCGGGGCAAGGACCCAGACAACGTTTCTATTTAATTTTAGGGTCTGCGAAACGCTATTTCATGTATTCAGAAACGTTTTATGATAATCTGAAAGCCACAGATTTGATATTTTATGTAAAAGATGAAAACATTAAGAGGTCTTTCCTCAGTTTTGAAAGAATTACAAAAGTGCGCGGGGGGAGGGGGCAATCTCCATTTCTTCTGTGGCTGCGCCTCTGAAGGTATATTGGAAAACCCATACGTGTCCGTGTTCACGTTTTTCAATATACCTAAAGGAACATGCATTTTTATTCCAGCATACTGATGTCATTTGACTGCGTCTCGAAGATCAAAACGGACCTTAAACTCAAGAGCCGTCAAATTACCTAAACTATGTTAGTGTATAGCTAGTTTTATTCTAATGTAAACTGAATTATAAAGTTTGAATTTTATATTTACAATTTTACCCACTTCCTGTTTTGATAACTGAGATATTGGTGATTGGCATTCTCTACAAACTCCCTGGAGTTTTCTTCTGCCAATCTCCATCCATATTACATTTTACTCTTTCCTTCTATTTTATAATTAAATTTATAGCTTTTTCATTTATATAATATGTATCCGTCTGTTTAAATTATTCTACCTGCTTGTAAATATTTGAATATGGTTAATAAATATCGATTGATCTATGCTATATGGTCTATTTCACAACTCAGTGATGGATCCGGAGCACAGGCGTACGGGTGGGAAAGAATTAGGGGAGAAACAAATTTGCCCTACTTTTTTGCATTTTGCCCGACTTATCTAAAAAATATTTTTTGCTTTTCCCCCAAAAAAACTTTCCAAAATTCTTGTCGACAAAGGGGAGGGGCGAGGTGTATCAAAGTTTTCGAAACCTTATATAATTGTTCAATTTTCGACTATTATCTCAATATGCTTATGATTCCCTACTATTATCTGAATACGCTTATGATCCCGAGTTTCAAGCAGACCAAGCACTGTCAAGACTCAAGTTCAATTTGTCGTTCAATCTAACTGCGCCCTGGCAAATATTCCTCAACCGGAACGCCATGATAGTGTTTGTATGCTTGTACGAAAACAGTTTGGGTGAGGCACGATTGGAGAGTAAACACAATTGCAGCGATATTAAGAACGTACGAGTAAACAGAAATATTCTGTAATCAATAATCATCATCCTTAGTACACACTATACCATAAGGCCAGACTTATATTCCTTGGATTACGGATTTTTTCACAAAAAGAATGGTCGGTAGGCTGACAAAAAGCTTTCTGAGTGTCTGATTATGTTTACGGCAAAACCAAATTCAATCTTTTATATTCTATTGCAGTAGTATTTTATTCAAACGAGTTTGTTCAATTTAGGTGGTCCAACCACGTGAACGAGTTTACATGAACCAGCGGTGCTCATGGTGCCACAAAATGGATATAGATTGTGTCTCGCTGTTCATGAGTTAGGGTCAGCGGTTAGGGTTATAGTTATACTAAGGGGTTATAGTAAGGGGTTATAGTTATAGTAAGGGGTTATAGTAAGGGGTTATAGTAAGGTAGGGTTATAGTAAGGATAGGGCTCAGCATTCATAAACAGCGAGACACGAATTTATAACCCACAAAACCACCAATCCCCCATTGCGTAATTTCCCCGATGTTTCCACCGAGTCGCCTGCGGAGGAGGTATATTTTCAATTTTTCTCTCCAGACTTTTACGGTACGTCGACGGATCCGTAAACCAAGAAATAAGAATAGTCTAGCATAAATAGCAGAACTATTACCTACTCATACAAATTACGATCTTACACTTACAAACGAGTTGTTGATAACTAAAGAGACGACACATAATAATACAAAGTATAAAAAGGTTATTTATAACAATATGTCTCTCTTGCAAGTCTAAAAGACCCTAAAAATACGGAATGGGTTTCACTTATTGGAAAAGTGCAGCACATGGCGGTCAACACTAAAGGAAAATACAGTGACGAAATTGCGTCTAGTAGGGAATATACATACTGGAAACTAACATCATCATGATCAAGTTGACCACCAAGTGTAGCGCCATCTAAAATCCAACCTATATTAATATATGTTATTCAGCGGCTTGTTCTAGTTGACTATCACTGGATGCGACAACTTGCTCATTTTCGGGATTCTCCATGGACTGCGCATGCTCATCAACTGGGCTACCATCATCCAACATATCATTCTTCTTAGAATCATGTTGATCACCATATTGTGTGCTACTCACTTGAACCTCGTTCTCGTCTCCTGGTACAGTACCTTCATCTGCTGCCTCGGTACCTTCTTGGAGCAAATTTTCGCTTGTGTTGATCTCTGACTCGGTTAAACAATTCATAGGTTCTCCAGATACGAGTTGAGCAGTATAGGAATCAGCTTCGTTCACATCAGACTTGCAAGATTCAGTCATGAAGATAGCTTGTTGCGAGGATGTATCAGATGTTGTGACAGGATTATCTTGTACTTGATCTTCACTATGTAACAGCTCCTCCACCATGACACTAGCAGCAACATGAACTAAGGCTGAAGGATCAACGCTCTCGCCATCATTTTCATTACCTGACGATACAGCACTAGCACTTGCGAGGAGGCTTTCATCATTTGCAGGTACAGATACCACTTCAAACTGCTGGTCATGAGCAGTAATACTGACCATAAGCTCACATGATTCATCTTTTTCTTTCTCTAAATGAACGCGTTTGACGTGTTTTGTTAACGACGATTTCTCTTTAAAAGACTTGCTGCAGTATTGGCACTCGTAAGGTCTGTCATCACTGTGTGTAAGTTGATGTCGTCGAACATTGTACGGACTAGCGAAATCTTTATTACAGATGTTACACACGTGTAAAGCAACTTGACTCGGCTCCTTCGGTTTACATTCTTTCTTCTCACATGTTAACAGATGTTTACGTAGCTCAATTTTACTTGGGAATATTTCTTCACAATACTTGCATTGGATGACCATGGTAGCCTGTTTCTCAGGTTTGTTGGGCCCACATACTTTCTTCATGTGTTTTCGTAAGTGTGAAAGCCGTCCGAACGTGTGATCGCAGTATTCACATTTGAACGGTCGTTTGTGCTCGTGTCGTGTTCGTACATGCATCGTTAACGTCGAGTCATGTCGGAACGCCGTACCGCAACTGGAAGAAAAAGAATAATATATTATTATAAAGTGTTATGAAAAGTAAACCTGGAAAGAAAGTGGAAACTCGGGATTCTGGATGTTGAGGAAGATTTGCCTTGGTAACATGTTTTGGATCATTTTAGAATTTCCACACATAACTTTATGGCAGAATTCACCAGGGATGGATCCAGGCAGATGTGATGGGCGTGCTCTTCAAGCCTTGGTCATCAGTTGGGGTGCGACCGCTGACCTAGCGCATAATCACTATGGGCAGTTGGCTAAACATTGCCCCAGACATGGTCCACTGGTGATAAGGCTGGTAGGATATTGTCTTTCCAAATAGAAAATGGATTCGATAAGGTTAGGAAGGGTGCGCAACCCCCGTATCCCCTCCCCAGTAAATCCATGACTTAAATTCCCTACACCAAGACAGAAGACTTACTGTTTACAGATATAAGGTTTCTCTCCAGTATGAATACGTTGATGAACAATGAGTTGGTGAAGACGACGAAAGAAACGGTTGCATTCTTCACATTTAAACTTCTTGATGTCTAAATACAACAATCAAAGCAAGTCATAGAATAAGCAGATTTTTCAGTAATAGATATTGCTGCATGAACGGCTCATAAAGGACCTTTCCACTTGTCGCGAAACTGAACTCGCACGCTCGCAGCGAGTGCTTGCATCTAATTAAAGGTAACTATATATAGACTAAATTTTGATCTGGGCAAGAAGAACGAAATCCAACACCACAGCTAGAAAGAGCATCTTAGAATGAGTAAAACTGCAAAGTGTGGTTGCGAAATGTTGTAAACTGAAGAAAATATAGCCCTGCGAAGTTCGCAAATTTTGTATATATTTGTATTACGCGCGGAAAAAATTGTTAATTTTCCCGGGCGTAACGCAAATATATAGCTGGAAAGAGCATCTTAAAATTAGTAAAATTGCAAGGTTTGGTTGCAAAATGTTGTAAAATGAGAAAAATATAGCCCTGTGAAGTACATTATTCCACCTACCGAGTAATGATTAAAAATGTCCTCCATGCAGATGTCACGCATGGGCTAATTTTAAGGTCAACTGCAATTGGTAACACTGGCACAAGCAGCTATAACCTGCATGTATATTGCGAACTTACCAGTGTGAATCTGTAAATGTTTCTTCAGATCAGAAGGATATTTGAATGCTTTGTTACACTGTTCACATACGCGAGGACCATTGCTGAGACGACGTTTTCCAGTAGTACTTACAACAGGAACTGGGAAAAGAAACAGGAAGATATTACCAGTAAGCAAATGACTGGGACGAAAATCAAAAGGGTGCGGCAGATGTTTACACGAAAACAGGGTGCAATTATTTTAGTATATTCCTCGTAATTCGAAAATGTAATCCACTATCAACAATGTTAATGTTGTCTGCAGTTTTGTATTATCAGCCCTGTACCAAAAATGTAGTAGACCGACCCGATAATACTTACGTTAATCCTGCTGCAAATCCGTCCCAACCTGGAAACAGTAGTTGGTTCAATCTATACCTACTGTAGCTCGCGGGATGGCTCAATTGAGACCGGTCTGCATAATCTTTGAACTCAGTATCATGTAAAAATCGACAAGACACAACACTATATTGTTATATAGTTTGTGTCAAAGTTCAATTTTTCTGTTTGCCGTTGGTCAATACTGTATCACGTGCCGGTCCACAAAACATCATGTTTAATGCATGCTTTGGCGAGGGGGCAACCGGTCCGCAATGAAATAATTATTGACCGTTCAATAATAGAATGGGTGCAGTGCGCGTGCGCGTCAACCGTGAAGTTCCAAAGTTCATTTTATTAAACTTTTTTTACGGCGTTCCATTTTATATCTAGCTAGTTTTGGTTTCAAAGTTCACTCCAATAACCGGTGAATTATTCATACTTTGACACTTATATACTATATAACAAAAGTTACAAAACACTTATTTACTGAGACCTCGGTCTCAGTAAATAAGTGATAATTATTAGTCGAATGTTCGGTATGAGAATTTTCCGGTATCGGTATACCGGAAAAAGTATACTAATATTATCGGTTTACCGGTTTTCGCCTTTTAAATTAGCTAGATAGAAATATTCCTCACTGGAAATTTGAAGGAAATTTTGATTTTGAATAATTTGAAAAGTGGAAAGGTCACCGTTTATGATAATTTCAAAACTGTTGACTTTTTAACACAAATGTCTACTTCTTTTACTGGGGGTAGGTATTTTTCGAGTTAAGCCCTTCGAGTTAAGCCCTCCGAGTTAAGCCCTTTTCGAGTTAAGCCCCTGTCACGCCCTTTTTCGCCGGGGCTTAACTCGAAGTCAATTAACGATTTAAGCATTCGAGTTAAGCCCCGACATCTGATGGATGTAAACAAGTGACGCGTGTATACTCGCAAAAATATTGGCAATGAAGGATCGAGGGAGAATGTAAAATTTCAGCCATTTTTACACATATTTTACTAAGATCTCTGTTGCTTTGCCTACAGTTTTATACAGACAATGATATCGTGAAATGAGATACCCTAGAAATGAGAGAACTCAATAAGGATTTGCAACAGCTCATTCAGGACGGCAATTGCGGCTTTAAAAAATAAATAATATACAGGGTGTATAAAAAAAAGGTAATCGAACTTCAACGCGCTATTGTATCTGAATTACTCTGCGTATGGACGAGATTTTTTTCATCTTTGGAAAGATCAGGCTTTTAGCTGTCGAATGATATGTTCTTCATGCCAAATGGATAAATTAAAAAATAAGCAAGTACGAGTCCGATAAAAATTGCTAGTCAGAATCGCATATCTTCACCGTTGAGAGTTGAGTCTAAAACCATTGAAAATTAAAAAATGTTAAAAACAAGTTTTAAGTAAAAATGCTAACGCAAAGTCGAGAAAATTACGTTCTGAAGCTGGATCGAACCTAGGAGCTAGAACGTAGCAGTCGCACGCCGAACCTTCTGAGCTGCTGTCGAGCTCGCTGAAGTCCTTCTAAAAAACTCATTTTATATTACTGCAATGTTATAGTGACTGACAATCATTTAGTTTTTTCGATAACCGTGACCGGCTGCCGGTATTACTGACTACTATCCTTCCTGTCTGTTCTCTCTCTGACGGGTTCTTGGCAAGATGAGTTACTCGGTTATGTCATGTAAATAGTCAACGGAAAACTATAAACGAGTTTACATAATATTCTAGTCATAGATCATAGATCGTTGGCGAGTAAATCGGTTAGGAAGGTAGCTTGCCTCCATATGAACATGCCTAAGATTTGCATGCAAGTGCCGCTATATATTATTTATTTTTTAAAGCCGTAATTGCCGCCCTGAATGAGCTGTTGTTAGTACAAATCCTTATTGAGTTCCCTCATTTCACGATTTCATTGTCTGTATAAAACTGTAGGCAAATTAAGCGACAGAGATCTTATAGTAAAATATATTTCTTAAAATGCTGCAATTTTACATTCTCCCTCGATCCTTATTTGCTAATATTTTTGCGAGTATACACGCGTCACTTGTTTACATCCACCAGATGTTGGGGCTTAACTCGAATGCTTAAATCGTTAATTGACTTTGAGTTAAGCCCCCGGCGAAAAAGGGCGTGGCAGGGGCTTAACTCGAAGGGCTTAACTCGAAAAATACCTACCCCCTTTTACTTTGCATTTGAGTAAAACAAAAATTGACGATTTCGCCATATGCCGGATGTGGTATATCGAAAAATTCCGATATATCGGAAATATGACTGAAAAACTCATACCGATAAACCGATATTGGTTTCAATACCGATATTTTCAATATATCGGTAAACCGAACATTCCTATAGTCGATACGTGTAGTCCACTTCATATGACCAATACAAAATCGTCACTCTCCAACAAAGGTACAAGATGGTGTGGTAATAGCCTTTCATAGATCACCCTTATTAAACCGCCTATTGTAGAATAACTATAACTGGACACTCCTATATTGGAGTACTTATACCCAGTATAAATATATCATACCAGGTGCAGTGGTAATAGCCTCTTGCAGACCATTCTTGTCATTCTCTACGGCTGCTGCAGCTGTGGCTAATTCGTGATCACTTGATTCACCAAGACCACCAGTCATACTAGACGTGTCAACTACACTTTCTGGATCACCTTAACAAAGAAACATGTTATGTTGTGTAAGAAATTAAGACGCTGTGATTATGCAACTTGTTTCCCAATGTCGAGGATTCACACCAAGAGACAGACTTCATATAATACACACACACACACACACACACACACACACACACACAACAAATAGGACTGGGTCCACGAACAATGTTGTTAAATTACTATTAAAATGCGGGAAAAATAATAGGAACATAGGCAAAAAGCTAATGAAGAATACAATTTCCTAATATTTCGATCAATTTTATTAATAGTTTTGTCCATGATTGTAGCTTGGATACCAGATTGCTTCCATATTAACAACCCCCAAAGCTCGTACACCTTTTATTTACCTGAAGCATCAGATTGAACAGCTGCAGTCAAAACTCCAGGTAGAGCATCTTGATTTACAACAAATGATTCTGTATCACCAGAGGTTGCCTGTAAGAGACTCATACTGGCTACCCCACTACCGGCACCATTTGATGGCATCACTATAGGTATGGTACCACCTTGTGTGACAAGATAGTATGAACCACCACTTGTATCGGCTTGTATGGTCGCTGTATTACTATTTGTTGTAGAACCTGACTGGATACCAGAGACAACATCTTGTAAGATGGTGGCTATTGATAAACCAGCTTGGGTACCAGTACCATCAGGAAGTGACGTTACAATTACATTACCACCAGCAGCACCAGCACCAGAGCTGGCAAACAAGTTAGCTAACTGTTCATGTGTAATAGTGACTACATTAGAAGTCGTACCATCAGCTTGAGTGACAGTTACATTATCCGACTGGTCAACCTCCATTGCTATGTCACTATTCTTGCATTCTTCAACCTAGTATACAGAGATAAATAGCGAGTGAGTACTTTTCCAAAAATCAACGAATTTTGTACAGTTGATGTTCTTGATGTGCTTTTTAGTAACAATTGGAAGTGTGGAGCCACCTGAAAAATGAATGCTTATGAGCCTATGTGACGCAGGCTAGCAATTTACTATGTTCCAACAAATATAACACTTTTCGCTCATCATTTTTAACTAAGGAAATCGTACGTAAGAAACACAAACTTCTTAGGCATTAGCGTCCATTTTTCAGATGGTTCCACATGAGATCAACTAAACCAGTTTTGGTGACTTCCTACATATCTGTCAATCTCCTCTACTAACCGTCGTTTGTTCATCATCACCAGTATTGCCTTGTAGTATCTCCTGGCCAAGCTCCATGGCAACCAGGATAGGCTCCAAATAAGCCTGTTGATCTTGCTGCGCATGCTCTGGAAATGCTACGTCATTGGTTGTTGCTGTATCATCAGTCTTATCTTCAGTATCATCAGTCTTATCTTTTGTCTCTTCACTGACCTCTGCTTCTTGTTTATCATCATCTAGTCAACAATATGTTGCGGACTGTTGAAGTTGCAGATAGGTTACAGATTGTTAAAGGTCAAAAGTCATATATAAAATGTATATACATACAGCTATTTCAATTAAGGTTGTCCCCGAGCAAAGTCGAAAAGTCGAATACGAGCGCGAAAGGCTGCTGGGAATCGCTAAAAAATTCATTAATTTGTTAGCGATTCCCAGCAAGCCTTTCGCGCTCGTATTCGACTTTTCCGCTTTGCTCGGGGACAACCTTAATTGAAATAGCTGTATACATTTTGACTTGCTTATGTATATAGCCTGTGTGAGGATGGAGTTGTTTATTTACTCGAATACTGTGTTTTCAAGATGCTATTTTTCGTCTTTGTTTCATGATAAAGGGCAAATGGCACGAACAATATCATTCCTGTAGTATTCCTGTATCATTCCGGAAAAAGTAGTCTTCATTGGTAAATACAAATTTCAATTTGGGCCATGCAGTGCCGCTCGCGCGACAAGGTTCAGGAAAATTCCATATCTAGAGTTACTGAAACTCCCAGTCTTTTCCACAACCTCGCAAGCCAGGGTCTTGTCTTTTCCACTGTTGCGTCACTCATTTGTTTGAAAGAACTGTTAAGATGAAAGAAGAACACTTTCTACGAACGTTATGGATTACCACGAAAGCACGATTATTTCTGTGCAGCGAGGCAGCGCACCATTCTTGACGCTGAAAACGTTTCTCCAGAGTCTTTCGACCGACCCAGTCTTTCGCGCGATCAATATTGTCGCGATTTCAATTTTGCTGCGGTCATGTCCAGATGTTTGTCTGTTCTAATTAGCGAACGTAATAAATGATCGCGTTATCGGACTATCTGATCTGACAATCTAAGACGGAAATGGTTGCGCTATCTGACTATCCGATCTCTCTGGACTAAATTGACCACTTACGTCATAGACCAAATTTTGATCTAGACAAACATTTCACAACAGCTTGAAAGAGTATCACAAAATTAGTAATATTCCAAAGTTTCGTTGCGAAATGTTGTAAAATGCGGATAATATAGACTTGCGAAGTTTGCAATTTTCAGTCATTTTAGATTACAAACAGGAAATTGACAGCCCAATACCCTTTGGGGCTGTCAATTTCCCGTTTGTAATCTAAAATGACTGAAAATTGCAAACTTCGCAAGGCTATATTATCCGCATTTTACAACATTTCGCAACGAAACTTTGGAATATTACTAATTTTGTGATGCTCTTTCAAGCTGTGATGAAATTTTTGTCTAGACTTGTTTAGATCAAAATTTAGTTTAGCAAATGGTCAATTGTTCTCTTTTAAGAGCAATACATGTAAAATGTTCAGTTGATGCTTCACGCCCAGTTACACGATACCGGATTCACATTTTACGACATCAACATATGCCGTTCAGCCTCAGGAGTAATGTCTGCCCACAAAATGTTCCCCTTTAACAGTTTTTGTTTCATTTTGTTATTTTATTACATTTTTAAGTGTTAAGACTTAAGATATTCCTGAAACCGTTCATCGTGTAACTAGATGACTTTTTGTGCTGTTTAAAAACAATACCAAATAGCTAGTGAGTGCCCAGGCTTTACCCTATTTAATAATTACCCCAATTATTTTTTGAGAGCGTCAAGTTTAAGGCAGCGATGTCCTTGCGATCCTATTTAAATGTAGAAGCATTTTCATCGTAGTTGTGACAATGGAACTCGTGCGTCGATATTTGACAAGCATTTGTTTTCATGCTTTTAAATCTTACATGAATGGCTTTTTTACATGTTGCTAAATATGGGACAATTTTTCTATTTATTAATTCGGGTAAGCTGAAGGCAAGGCGAGTCGCTCAACACTTTAATTAAGTGACGTCACAGGCAGCGCATTATTAATTACCCATCATTTTTCTGATCTGGCGCAATCCAATTATACAAAGATTGACGTCATAATGAAGATCGCCAATAATTGATTGACTGTGACTGTGCAAGCACACGCAGTTTTAGCAAAATATCCGGTCCTGCATTTTTTGAAAATTAAAAATTCAACCAAGACAAATATGGCAATCTAAACTAAAAGGACAACTGTTGGATCTTTAGGTCAAAGAAGGTAAGAATTGCACATCATTTTATTTTTTTAGGTAGCGGAAAAATGTCGCCTATTCTTGTTATAATTGCTTTCCCTTGTGTTGTTGCTATGCAATAAACTCATTCATTTTGAAATCAATGGCATTTCTAGCAATCTGTTAATTCCCAAATTACACAATTTTGAGTATTAATCACACCATCTTGAGCATAAATTCGGTCATTTTTTAAGCCAATTAGATTGAAGCTCTGCACCAAGAGAACCAATCAAATGAAAGTATACTAAAGTAACTAGCCACAGGCGACCCAAACGTATATACCAGACCAAGATTAATGGTATTGATGCTTGTGATGTTACTCTGAGTGTATATCCACACCGGGTAGGCTTGAAAAATATGCCTGGCCACGGTGGGAATCGAACCTACGACCTTTGGACAATTTTAATAAAACTGTCTGTAGTACTTCGGCGGCTGCAAGCATAGTTACGTCGTGGTATACTACGGTATATGTACAAGTTTTTAATTTAAATAAGTTAAAATGTCTTGACATGAAATATGATTACGCAGATGGGTCCAAAAAACCCTGGGTTTCCCGTTTCCAGACCCAGTTTGAATTTTTGTCCCCAGTTTGTGGCATTAGTTTTGTAGCAGCTATGTAAAATATAATGTAGAATGGTTTGTGCCAGTGTAGGTTGTGCCAATAACAACAAAACTTTCGTTGGTAGGGATAAACTCCCTGAAAATTACAAGGAGCGAGGCCCTTCGTCGGGAAATTAGTAGGGACCTTCAGCAAATAGGTGACGGCAACGCGACGGCCAAAACAAACGTTCAAATAAGTAACTTTAAGAACATGTCTTGTATTATCCGTTGTATGAATTTATTGCAGTTTAAGAAGGTTAAGTCTTAAGACAGAGGTTTATAGTTGAGAAGGCTTCTACTAAGCGAATTTGCCGAGGACGACTTCTCGCGGCTTGAAAGGCAGACGTTGTATACGAAACGTAAAAAGCTTTGGTTTGCTGTTGTAAACAGAGCAAGGACGACGTCTAAAACTCCCAAGGAACTTTAATTATGCATTTTCTTTCTACACTGTCATAAATTTCATTGTATTAATAACCGTCGCCGTCCTGTTAGCTAAAGGTCCCTAGGCCTAGTAGCTAACAAACGGTTTTCGCTCGAAACGTCGAATTTCTCCTTGAGTTTTCAGGTATAGTTGCATCCCTGCCAACGAACCATGCCTGTAGAAAAAGAAAATTTTCGTCTTGGCAAATATAAATTTCAGTTTGGATCTTCAGTGCTGTAGCTGGAAAACCCTGGAATCTCTAGGCCAGGGGATTTCGGGAATCTGGCTGGCCCTAAGAAAATCTAAAGTTTCTTAGAACGGACTCAACTGAGGAACATTTTACTATTTTAGTGATTTTACATCACATAATTTGCGACTTGTGGGGATGAGAATTCAGAAAATGTCATATAATACACACTGGGGAGAATATTTGTGCAGAAGAATTAAATCTTAGCATTGAAGCATTCATATTTCATAATTTATATTTGATAATTCAATTTCAATATTTAAATCAATTAAGTTTAACTGACAACTGTTACAGTTTGGATCTTCAACAGTAATCACTATTGACTATTCAACAGTAATGTGTTGACTTTTTTCAGTTTGTATCATTTAATCATTGTAAATCATTCTTAATTTCTTATATAAATTTTTGCTTGTAACTTGCAAGATGATTTTTCAGTTTGGTCACAAAAAATTTCGTCTTGGCCCAGCACACCTAGGAGGCTTTTCTACAGGCATGCAACCATAGGCAGCCCACTAAACGACTGAGTTCAAATTAAAACTACAATGAAATTATAAAATTTAACGAAAATAATCACAAATTAGCGAAATATATTGCAAAATGTAGCTTATATTAAATCTCCACTCGATTGACCTATCGGCGAACTGACGTATATTAAAGTATACCTAAGGTTGGCAAGGGGTTTCAACTGATTGAACTACACACAAAAATATATCCGTAGTATTTTAAAAAGCAGAAAGAAACTAGCCCTAAAAACAACATAAACATAAACATAAACAAGGATAATTTTACTAACCTGTCTGTAACTTTTTTTGTCAAAGTACAGCTTTAAATGTTGATAAATTTACGAAAGTTTACGGTGTTTTCTCGATATTTTTCTCTGTGACTATGCGGGATGCTCGCATCCTGCTACTGGACAAATTTTTCAAAATAAAACTCTGCTGTTCATTGGCTGTAGCAAGTTTCGTCGTCAGCGATTTCGTTCGTTACTTACGACGAAACTTGCT